TCACTGCAGCTGCAGCCCCAATCCGTCTGTTGATCTCCATTTCTTCATTTAGTCCAAAATTGACGTCGCCCCTGAGAACAAATGAGCAACTTTGGTATTTAGAGAATGCACTAAAAAAAAGTGTGGAAGAACGAGGGGTCGTGAACATTTGGGCCATATACACTGACAGAACAGAACGTTTTGCTACCTATAAATGATGTAACTATTAGAAATCTACCCTGTGATTGTAAAATGAGCATTTTTATATATTAAAATTGCTCCTCCCCTTTGCCTCGGGTTATTGCAGGCTGAGAGCACATGAGAAAACTCAGGTGTTTTAAGTTCATCTGTAGCTGCGACAGGTCTATGAGTCTCTTGTAATAAAATAATATCTGCCTAAGGTCACATGGAGCCAGCACCATGCACATTCCATGTGATAAACCTTAGTGTGCCCATAGTTGTGTGTGTGTGTGTGTGTGTGTAGCTAATGTTGAGCGCTGTGTGTGTGAATGAGAAAAAACACACTCCCATCGGGTGTAAGAAAGCGTGTGGTGAGAGTTTCCATAAAAGTGCAAATACATAGATCCGAGTGGTGCTTGGTGTTGTGTGATCACTTATATGAGCGATATTATTATATGTGCACACCTGTGTGTGTGTGTGAGTCCTTTATGTCTGTGTGCACTGTGAGGCTGTAGTGTGTATCTGCATGATCGTGCCGTGCAGATGAAATAATGATTGTGTAATGACAGAGGGTGCAGAAGCAGTAAAAAAGAAAGAAAACTAATTGGAAAGGGGTTGTGGGTGAGAGGGAGTGGAAAGATAACAAACAGCCCACGATCTTAGAGGAAAGTTGTGTGTGACTTAGTAGGAAAACAGCTGATCTGTGCAGCGAGAGGAGGGAGAAAAACATGCAAAGGGACACGAGGGACGGATGAAAGAGAAAAGCCAACATATCTAACAGTTTTATAGCAGTTATCTAACAAGAAATATGGCTGCTGTGTGGCAGAGATCAGTCCAAGAAGTCTGTATTCTCATTTTAATGAGTGAATATGTGTAGTTTTTTTGGTCTGTGACAGATATTTCTTCCGTCTTTGTTTTACAGTTCATGGATGCAATTTAAAAAGCAAGCTAATTAGCTCCAACTTCAGCTTAGCAGCAGGTAAAATGCTGATGCTGAGACTTGAAGTTGCTGACATCAGTGAGTGAGACCACTATGGTCATCTTTTATATACAGTCTGAAAAAGAAGAAGAAGGATGATACAACTGGAATTTTATTTTTAGTAACAGAAAAATTGTTCTCAGACTTGTATAGCAAGGAAACTTCAGTTTCTTAACGTAATTATTTGTTAAATATTTTGCACTAAAATTTATTTTTAACTGATTGAAAAAAAATCTGTTATTTAAGGGTGTTTTCAGCCAAACAATAGGGTGATATGTAGAGCAGGGCGATATGACCAAAAATATTTATCACAATATACATTTGAAAATTTGCGATAATGATATGACTGATGATATAATTGACTCTAGACAAAATACTTTACAACTCCACAACTTTATTAGTGCAAAAAACCCCATCAATGTATTTTCACTTAAACAAGCAGCTGTTTTTTATGTGCATTAAAGTTATATAAAA